CACACACACACACACACACACACACACACACACACACACACACACACACATTCACCTAAAGTAACCCCAGCATTAGATGCAGAAATGTGTGTCCAAGATGATGTGGACCAGTTATTCATAAAACCTTTAAGTCCTTACGTTAGCAAATACTAGCTCTTTTCAAACAAGTGATTTACTAAATTGGCTTGCCCATTAAAACCTTAAGTGGCTATAACTGATATTTATGTACTATGATATTAATTTTCCAAGAGTTATCACCTGAATCTGAGCTCTCCTGGGTTTTATGGAGCTTTGTAGTGAGTTTCATTGTTTAGCTGTCTGGTCTGTAGATTTACTGTTTTGAGTTCACTCTCACTGCTCTTATAGTGTAGTGTTCAGCAGCACAAGGCAGCTGTTTTCAGCAAAAAAGTTCTACTATACACTACCTTCTCAGCACCAAACAGCAGACAGACAATAACCGACAAGCTGGTGAACACAGAGGAGCATTTAGCAGCCAAAGGGACAGAAATTTCCCTCAGCAGTTGGTGGAGTATAAATATGCACTATAAATACACTTGTTGCTGCTGCCTCCAAGTGGCCAAAAAATAGTTTTTAGCAGGTTTCAGGAATGTCTTATTTAGTTAAGATGTCATTAATACTGTTGAAAAGACAATCTTGCATTTTGAAAAATACATTAAATACAGCACAGGGCTACAGACAGCAGCCAGTTAGCTTAGCTTAGCATAAAATCTAGAGACATGGGGGAAACACCTAGCCTGGCTTTGCTGCCTACCAGAACCTCTAGAGCTCACTTATAATTATATCTCATCCCTGTTTCAAGTCAGTGCTAAGCTGAGCTAAACTGAGCAACAGTATAGGCCTATTTTACATATGTTTGATGTACAACGTTTGAAGAAGTGGTATTGATCCTCACATCAAGCTTTCTGCTAACAAAATGTCAAACAATTTTGAACTGCCAGTCCTAAATGTGGGTGTTTTGTTTGTGGAAGTTTGGAATTGGTGGTAAATCTGATTATGTTAACAAACTGTTATTAGCTATGTCCCAATTCAGGAGGCACATCTTTCAGAGTCTGTCAGCAAACAACATGGACAGAAACCCTGAGGATTACACTTTTAAATGTAAGTATTGGGTTTCAACTCAGTTCAATAGCTAACTGTAGAACTGTTAAAATTACATGTTGTGAAGGTTGCAAGGTAACAGGAGCCACACCTTCACGGTCAACAACAACCACGCGGGCCACACATTCTTCAACCACGTCCTCTGAAGGATGCGGATCCTGAATCTGAATGTTTGTTCATTCAGATGATATTTACATTGCATTTTGTAATTTGAGGTATATTATGTTCTATTCTTCTAATGTGACTTACACTTTTTATTTTTATATCATTATAAACAGCATTTTAATCAAACGTCGGATCAGATGCGTTGACTATATTCCATCATGTTTATTACTCCTCACTCTATTCCATTATATTTCGATTAGCAAACTAATGTTAGCATTCCCACTTGGTTAAGTAACACCAGTTACATCTGGCAATTACTAATGTTTATTAACAATTACTCTATAGGTAAGAAATTTGTAATGCAACATGTTTTAATTCAATGATGCACAAATCTCTGCTTAGTAAATTTATGTACAGCTGGTGCAACGTCCCCTGGACCAGAAGGCCATTTGTTTGGCTTTGAGAAACAAACTGGTGCCAGTTGTGTCCCAGCCAGGCTCAGGCTTCATCAGCTTTTGGCACATTTCTAAAGCCTGGACATTAGGTTTCAACCACAGCCACAATCAAAGTTTTAGTGGATGAAGGAGCCACAAAACAACAGAAAACTGGCAGATATATGGTGAGATAGGTCATGAAGAGGCAAAGACAGAACATCTAACGAGAAAATATGAAAAGTGAGCTAGCTAATGAAAAAACTGACAGGTGGACCGATACGGATAAACAATCTCATGTGCATTTAAGTAGTAGGAGAAATAAAATGGAAAACATACTCACTGATAGGCAGATGTTAAAGAGGAGGCAGGTGGACAGAGGCAGATGCTGACTAACACTGAGTTGTCTGCCACTCTGACACTGTTGCTCTGATTCTAATTATTCATTAGCCCCCTAACTCACAGATCAAACATTTACATCCTCCCCCTCAGGTGCCTCACAAACGTCTCCATTTGTCTCTTTCATTGTCAGGGACTGTGTGTGCACTCTGATTCACGCAACTCGAGGTGGATGCAAATCCTTCCCAGTGCTCCTCACTATTACCATGGTACCAAACTAAAAGACTATTTATCTCAGAATATAGCCATCACAGCATGGAATTAAGCATAAGAGAGCTTTATGACTATAGTGTTATTGGTCCTCTAAATAAACTGGGATAGCAACATTATTAGTGATCACTTAAAATCATTAGTCAGTGCTGGGGAATGCAGACTGGGAAAACATTAGGCTGTAGCAGATTGAGCGCCTACACTGAAATCTCATAAGGCGTTATTAGGTAGCATACCCCCAAGGCTTTCTCACACATGTTGAAGCTCCTGCAGTGGGCTGTTGGAGGTCAGGCTGTACAATTAGATGTGGAATATCCGCAACTGAGCCAGAGGAGAAAGAGGAGCTAATGGAGATTAATCACACAATTTCAACGGTGCTGGAGCTGAATGATCGACCGTTTAGCACACAAAACATTTTTAGTCTTTGGGCTGCGGTTGACTTCTGAGAGTGGTTAAATCGCCATCATCACCATCATCATCATCATCATCATTATCATCATCACCATTACCAATACCATGATTCTGCTCGTGGTTATTTCCGATAATCACCATCAGCAACATCAAGAGCGATGACATATTGTGAAAGTGCAAGCTAATGTAGCTTGGGTACCACCAGGGTTAGATTTGTAATTCAAAAATTGGGGACACCCATAGAAAAGGAAAGACAAGATGACCAATCGTGGAAAAAGAATAAAAAGAAAAGCTTTCATCCCCGCTGAGAGCCACATGGGTATTTTTTAAAGTGAAGATAGAGATAGGAGACAAAGCTGAGAGGAAGCTAATCCAGATGATGACACTGATGCAACACAGCGGAGTTGGAGGTGAGGAGGGTGAGGGCATGAGGGAATGAGACAGAGGAGAGCTTTGAAGCCCAGAAGGAGGTGCAGTGTCGATGTAAATTGGAGGAGAAGGAGGTAGATAGAGATTAAGGGCCAAAAGAGTGTGGGAGGAGGGGAACGAAAGAAAAAAAAGAGAGGATATGGGGGATCAGCCTGGATGGATCTGTTAATGTGTGTGTGTGTGTGCATACAGCACAGTGTGTGTGTGTGTGTGTGTGTGTGTGTGTGTGTGTGTGTGTGTGTGTGTGTGTGTGTGTGTGTGCGCGTGTTTGTATGTGGAGGTGGGGGGAAATGAAAGAAGAAGGGAAAGATGCGGCGCAAATGAGAGGGTGAGTGGCATAAACAGAGAGGGAGAGAGAGGGAGGGGGAAGTGTGTGTGTCTGTGTGTGTGTGTGTGTGTGTGGGGGGGGGTACATAGTGGCTCTGTGGGGAGGTGTATACAGCTGTGCAGAGTCAGAGGGAGACGCACAAACAGTAAAACAACCAACAGTAGCCTTCACACCAGCATCACATAACAGAGGCAACTGTGGTTTATTGGTAGATAGAAGAAAGAGTGGGATTTAATCACAAATAAAGGAAGGGGAACAATCTCAGCCAGTGGCAACATTTATGACAGAGAAAAACAGAAGAGTGAAGGAGGAAACAAAGGAGCTGAGCCAGAAGAGGAGTGACCTGAGGTGGATAAAGAAAACCAGGAGACTGGAACAGGTAGGAGAGAGAAATTTGAGGTTGAAAAAATGTGTGTGGTTTTAAGAGTAAGAAAAGATGAAATATAAATATGAATGTTTGTTTGGATGTGCATGTGCAGTCGATTCTGAGCAAAGGTAAAAAAAGGGAAACAAAGAAAAATACTAGAGACCAACGCGCTCTGTAGCATTGTCTTCTGTAGTTTGCCAATACATGGCTTAAGGGAAAAAAGTGATTGATGAAGTATGGACTAAAAGAGGAATGAGAGCATGAAACCAGCACAAATAACCAACTGAGACTTTAGCCTAAACTGCAGAGCAGAAAACAGCGGGGGGGGAGGAAACAGAAAAAATATGGTAGCATGAAATAATCATATGGCATGTAGAGAGAAGCAGATTGGACCAAATAATATGCTGTGGCTCCTTAACTGTCACTTCGGCCATTAGGAAAGGAAATCAGTAGTCTTCATATGGATCATACTTTATAATGGCAGTGCTGTGTAAATAATACATTGGATATTTAACGGAAATGCTTTGCAACATGTCAATATAATGTTTGCACTGGAATGCATGATAGATTGTAGATAGATTATTTGGATGAAAGTGGGAGGTAAGGAGGACTCAAGTGTAATTCTGACAGGGAGATTTATCTGAAATAGGAGAAGGAGGAGGAGGTGAGTAACAACTAGACAACTGGGAATCCTTGATGAGTTAGAGACAGGTTTAGTTATCAGGGAGGCTTTGTGAATAAACCATAAGGTAGTGGCCACATCTATCAGCAGGTGACAGGCTCTACGGTACACTTGCGTGCAGGAACTGCACAAAAACAAACAAGTAAATACGAAGGTGCATTCATGTAGCCTTATCTACACACTTCCTTTTCTCTTCTGTGTCATTAAGTGTGTGTGTGCACAAGAGTCAAATGGGGCAGCTATTAATATATTCATGGAGACAGGGAGGTGGAGATCAATTTAAGTTTCCAGTTCATTTTACAAGCATAAGGGCAGGGAGAACATACAGTTTTATAACATGAAAGGATGAGAGAATGGCTGTTGTGCTGCAGATTTCCCCTGAGGTTTGTGATCGCATTGGTTGAGGTGCTGCCACCCTATGGTGAAACTGTGCTATCCCATGAAGTGTAACAGGAAAATGATTTGTGGACGTCGCTTCATGTTTTGGCCTGTGTCACATGTCCCTGAGCAGAGTTGCTAACCCCTGCCTGCTGATCCGTGATGTCTGACCGGCCGCGCATGCTACTGATCCTCTTCCTGACCTTCACACAGGGGTGAGAGACCTCAGGTTGAAAACACGCATACAGGGTCAAAAACACATGTTCATACTGAAATTTACATTGACTGAAAACAAAGTTCATCAGCTTATGATCTGCACAAATATTTATTACCCGTTTTCCACCTCTGCCTTTTTTTTTTTTTCATCTCTCTCTCTACTGTGTCAGAGCTTGTATGTTCCCTAACCATCACTGGGGTGACTGGAACGACTCTCAGCTTCAGCCAACGATTCAGAAGCTGATGAAAGGATACAACCGCTACCTCAGACCTAATTTCAATGGTAGGAAGGAAAAAAAAAAAGGAAGCTACTACAAAGCAGTTGTCACCTGTGTGATTGTGTTTCTCCTAATTGGAGTCGGACTTATACCCAGTCTCTCTGTCTTTGATAGAGGGTCCTGTGGTAATTGGAATGAGCCTTGATATTGCCAGTATTGATGCCATCTCCGAAATCAATATGGTACGGACTTCTTCCTACTATTTTGTGTCAGTGGGTGAATGAGGGAGTGTGATGTGAATATGTGATTAAAAAAAAAAAGGTTCACTTTCATCTTTTCAGGACTACACTGCAACTATCTTCCTCCGTCAGCGATGGTGTGATTCCAGGCTGGTTTTCCCAGGAAATGAGAGCGTCAGTCTGGATGGACGGCTGGTGTCACTGCTCTGGATCCCTGACACTTTCATCCCCGACTCTAAGCGCTCCTTCCTGCATGACGTCACGGTGGAAAACCGCCTCATACGCATCTTCAGCAATGGAACTGTTCTCTATGCCCTTCGGTAGATTTTTTTTTTTTTTTTTTTAAAGGTTTAAGTGTATTGATTTGACATTTACTGACTGATTTGATACTCTGCTACATGTGCCACAAAATACTCTTTCTGATTGTGCTGAGCTTGTAGGAGGAAGCTGACCTAGAATAATAGAAAATGAAAGGAAGCGAAATGTTTGAAATACATTTTCCCTAATTTTTTTTTCTGTATCATGTTGTGTTCATGATTGCCACACTAACCAGCTGTGAATTGGTCGTGGGTTTTTACTAAAAAAGAAGCAAAACAAAAAAAACTAATGTATCATCATTCAGTCATATAACTGAAGGGAATGCCACTGAACTCCTGTAGTCTTTGTGCCCTTCAAACAGTTCAGATTGTGTTAGTGAAGATTTGCAGAGTCCCCCTTTGGGCACCGTAAAAATGTGTCCTGACGTCTTATCTGTCGTGTCACACTGATAGAGAAATTTATTATGACTGCACAGCTTTATTGAGGACAGAAAGGGCAGTTTTGTGCAGGGTACTTAAGGTATTTTTCCGTCTGCTGGAGTGCAGGAACACATTTTGATTCCTGACTTTACGGTGTCTGATTTGGCAATGGTGGAACCTGCAAATTCCTTAAACTATTTTTTTCTGCAGTAACAACACACCAGGACACTGTGCTGCCCCTTGCAATATTTTTTAGCATTGTTAGAAATAATATATAAACAGAAGAAGTTCAGTTCAAATGCTCGGAGACATCGTATACAGAGATTGACACTTCAGATATGAGTCTTTGTTCTCTAGATTGTTGCTCGGGGGGGAGAGAGTTCTTTGTGCTCACTAATTATTAATTGCCCTGTTCTACATCAAACAAGTAAAAGTCTTTTTGAAGGTTGCTAATGATCCTTACTATGAACACACAACAGAATCACAGCCACGATCGCCTGCAACATGGACCTGACCAAGTACCCCATGGACAGACAAGTGTGCACTCTGCAGCTGGAGAGCTGTAAGTAACACCTGTGAGCTCCACCTCTCCCCCTTCAGCACCCCATCAGCTCTCCATCAAGTGTGTAGATGGACATAAACCATCATCATCTCATCATCACCATTACCATTTTCATCATCAGTGGAGTGAGTATCAAACTGGAGAGACAATGTTATGCTGAATGGGTCAGAGACATCAAAAATTAACTGCTGTATGTGGATTTCTTTGTGTGTGTGTGTGTGTGTGTGTATGGTCAGGGGGCTACAACCTGCAGGATGTGGTGTTCTACTGGACCAGAGGGAACGATTCAGTGAAGGGTCTTGACACGCTGCGGCTGGCTCAGTACAGTGTAGAGAGCTACTACACATCAGTGTCAGAGGCTGTGTACGAAACAGGTAAAATACTTCAACTCCCAGGAAACCCCCTCACACATGGAGTTATATAATCTTCTTTGTAGAGCACAAATGTAATTCCTGGTCTTCTAAGTCTTTCGATCTTCAAAGTCTTTTTCATGTTTCCTCACAGGCCAATACCCCAAGCTGGTACTGCATTTTGCACTGCGTAGAAATGTGTTGTTCTTCATCTTGGAGACGTACGTTCCCTCCATTCTGCTGGTGGTTCTCTCCTGGGTCTCTTTCTGGATCAGCCAGTCCTCTGTGCCAGCTAGAACCTGCATTGGTTAGTGCATCCTCTTGTACTCTGACTATACTGTACGTTCATGTAATATGACTCTGGAATACTTTCCACTGTACAGTGTGGGGCGTATTATGTGCTGATTCACACAGTGTCTCTCTTTGATCTTAGAAGATTAGAGAGTATGTTACAGCGTCACATCACCTGATGTAGAATAATTATGTTTAGTCATAACTGTGTCATACATTTAAACTTAATCTTGTATAAACAGCACAAAACTTATCGTCCTCACTGAAACAGCTTCAAAATGGGTTTTTAACATACTGTATATATATCTATCCGTTCTTCCCTAATGTTCTGAATGCAGTACTTCTAATGGACTATTTTTCACTGTTGTTCTGCACACTTCTGCCACTACCAGTGATTCAACACCTACTGCAGCCTTACATCCGCTGATTGTCCACAAAGGCAGCCAGCTGTTACCTATGCAGTTCAGTGCATTGAACTCTGGACTGTGTTCTACTATGCTACATGGACAAAAACATACATGTCAGCACATCATCATCAATGCATCGATAGTTAGGTGTTTCGCTTGTTTACTGAGCCCACTGGCCAATGGGAAACAGGAAATTAGATCAGTGAGTGGCTGGGAAAATAAATAATGGAAGGAGGAAAATGTGACTTGTGAAGGATGACAGAGATGATGGATGGCTAGATGAACATGCTTGAACTGACTACCAATGGATGGATTATGTAAGGAATAATAGCATTGTAATGTGTGTCTCTACAGGAGTCACTACAGTCTTGACCATGACCACTCTGATGATGGGCGCCCGCACGTCTTTGCCCAATGCCAACTGCTTCATTAAGGCCATAGATGTTTACTTGGGGATCTGCTTCACCTTCATCTTTGGTGCGCTGCTGGAGTACGCCTGTGCCCACTTTTACACCATGCAGCACCAGACCATAGAGGACTTTCACAGAGTGAGCGACATGTTTGCACTTAGATATGAGATGAAAAAGCTGAATTTTCACATTAGATAATGAAGACATTTGTAAGCATCAGTCCATCTGTCTGTCTGTCTGTCTGTTAGGATCTTCTGAGGGAGTTCAATGAATCCAACGGAAACGGCTCCATCCCCATCGTCAGCTCCACCCAGCCAAACCAGTCTGTGGAGATCGGCTCCACTGCGGAGGACCTCACGGAGCAGTCAGAGAACAGTGACACTAAGAAGCATGCTGGATCAAAAGAGGAGACGCCAGGGCAGGGGTGTGGCCTGTCTTCGGTGAAGGAAGCATGGCGCAGGGCAGCATCTGTCTTCACTGTGGAAAATCCACACAACATCGATCGTCACGCCCGCACCGTTTTCCCCACAGCGTTCCTCTTTGTCAATATCCTCTACTGGCTTTACTATCTCTTTCTCTGAGCGATGGCTCCAAGCTGCTGCACAGTTAATTTCACCATCCTGAAGCTGCTCTACCTCCTCATTTGAGACCCAATACCAGTCGCCACTGCCTGGATCTAAAAAACTGACCGTGTTACCTGGCTAGAGCCTTTTTGTCCCACAGATAGGGCTACAAATTTGATGAAAACCAGTTGATTAGGATTAGGAACCAGTAAATCCTCTGTACTGAAAGCTATTATCAGCTATGTATGAATGGGTGGCTACCAACATGTAAAAGTGATGATACAAAGCCAGTATCTGTCCATCTCCTGACAAATCCATAGAACAAATGAGGATGAGATAACTGCCTGAACTGCACCACACTATATGGTGCTGCATTGAATTGCCTTCATTAAATGACTGATGTAGATGTGTTTTTTTTTCTTTTTCTTTTTGCTTGTTTTGGCTTTCATGCACTGTTTGTATGAGACTGAGTATGATACTGTATATTTGCTTTACAGCATATCGTGAAATTAAAAGTCAGTAACTAAGAATGTGTTGCTGCATTTTAATAAGAAAAAAATTTAGTATCTGTCAAATGACAGAAAAACTAATGTTTGGGAAACAAGAAACAAATTTATTTTTCCCTTATCCAGGTAGGAGAACAGTAAAGTGCAAAAGCCAACCACAGGTTCAGCAGAGACGTTGTTAAAATGACGTATAATGGAGATTTCCTCACTCAGAAGAGATGGTTTGTATCACTTAATAACACCACTTTGTTAATCACTCAGTTTTCTATAGCAAGAGTATCCAACAGTGTGCCAAAGGAGGTCAAGTAGAAGTAGGGTTTCGTTCCAGCCAAATAATTCAGCAGATGCTCAGTGAATAGCTTCAACCTGGGAGGAGAAGCTAATGAGTGCAGCTAAAAGACAATAATACACTCAACCCATCAATGCATGGCACTCAGCTGTACACCCCTGTCAGGTATGTCTTATGATGGCGATGATGATGATAAGAAAGGAAACAGTATAAAAGTATAAAGCATACAAAACAGTAGTCATGGCTCAATATGTACAGGCAGAACAAAAAACATTATGTCATATAAAAGGCACATCATGGCTTAAACTGCCTTCTATCCTCTTATTTTCCAACACATCACATTTCTTAGGTTGTCGTTTCCCACGTGGCACATTCACAATTTAACCTTTCAGGTGATGCAGCACTGGTGCCAACACAATCCTATGTTGCTTTTCTGTTACAACACTGCTTTCTACGTACTCACTGTGCTTTTTAATACACTTTTCTTGTATCTTTCTTTCATACGCCCTGATTTCGCTCTCTTCTGTTGAATCTGTGTCGCCACAGACAATGAAAACACTTGGATAAAGATGAAAGTCCCTAAATTCCTCACATTTGGAGAAGTCCTTTTAAGAAGACAGAAGAGTAAATATTCAGTGAGATGTACCTCCACCTAGTGGCTGCTTTCTTTCATTATAGTTTACTTCCTTGGCAGACCTATGAAACAGGTTTGTGTTTCGGAATGTAGATGGGAGGTCATCCGTAATGGGATTAAAGTTCTCAAAAATCACATCCTGATATACAACAGTCCTTTTCATGATGCTGCTCTTAGGTTCCTTTCTTAGACTCCCATTCCTGTAGAGACAGATAAGTCAGGAGATTTAGTAAGGATGTGAAAATAATATATCATAATAATAATAATAATAATAATAATTATTATTATTTCAAGAAAGGAATTTCAAGCAGTTGTGTGAGTAAAAAGCTACACAAAATATAAATGGCAGCAAATCAAACAATTCCTATTATGCTAGTGTTTTGTAATAGAGAGCTGTGTCTACAAACAAGCAAACAGAAAAATACAATATAAAAACAAAGGAATCTGTGCTCATGCCTGCAGGTTAAGTCAACTGGGCCATTTTTATGTTAGTAATGCAGCAAAATAGTAGTGCTAGACCATACTGTTATAACAATATATCTTCACTTTTCTAAGCCTTTAAGAAATGGCTTCACGAAAATGAATTTAGTTAATTAGAGCAATAAGTTAAAATGGCCCAATTTGTAATGTATTTCTAAGCTGTTAGACAAAATAAAATAGAAATGCAAATCAAGAGGCTAAACAATTTAGGTTATGGCTGAATGGCTGTATAGCACTGTAAGGTACTGCTATTATCACAAAACTCATTAAAGTAAGCTCAATAGTAATCACCAAATTAGTCAATAATAAGAACGCAGCTATGAATTTCGCTTTGTCACAGAAATGTGCAGAATTTTTCTATGCACGTTCACTTAGCGCTCACGCAATGCTGCCGACTTCTTTAGACAATTAATTCTTGGTTAATCAATGGCTACGTAAAGGTCCAGGAAATGCAGAACGATCACTGTGGTAATGACAACAATTACAATCTATGTAGGTAACGTCTCCAAACAATTATATTGTACTCATTCGCACAATCACCACGACCTGGTGGCATCATTAAGGTTGAAATATTGTTCATCGTATTGTTAAAGCAGGAGTAGCTGATATCAAACATTTGCCGTGAATCCAATTTAATCATAATCACTGAAAATACACTCACACATACAGGTAGTTAACTGTACATGTTTAAAGTGGCTGTGCCAACATATACAGACTGTCAATCTATTAGTATGTGAATTGTGAAAAACCATTAGATGATGACACCTGCTGCTGTGATTCTCTGAAGCTCCTGTGGAGTCTGACAGAGGAATCTGGGAGGAATTGTTCAGGAAGTGAGGGTGAGAGAGAGAAAAACTGTTAGCTCAATGTTACCTTTGCTTTCTGCATGACAGTTCCTGAAGAGGACGCATAAACAGATGGAGGTCTCCTTCGCATTTCTGAGGCACAATTCACTGGTAAGGACTCACTGTAGATGTTCTGGCTCTTTCTGTCGGAGGCCTACACACAAGAAAAAGAAAAAAGAAAAAGAAGTAAATAAAAAGCATGTTTGCAGGCAGGTGTGTCATGTAAACAAGTCTTTCCACATAAAGCAACAGATATACCTTAACGGGTGGTTTAGCCTCGACCGGTGCCCCCAGTGCCCCACCTGCCTGGCTCTTCTTGAGGTTTTCCTTGGCCTGAGTCAGTCGGAGCTCCAGGTCCACCCTTTCTGCCTCCTTAGCCCGACAGGTTTCTTCCAGCTGGGAAATGCGCTTGTTCAGGGAGGACTTTCTCTTTTCTGCTCCACAGAGACATGTTTAACACAATGAGACAAACAAAGACTACGGCAGCAGAATTGTGTTTTCATGTCTCGCTTTAGATGGTGAGTCTCAAAATACAGGATGGCTATAAAGTGGCCTATATTTACACTTGTAGTCCACTGCGATTCAAATTTGACTGTGTTTTTTACTCTTCTACAGCTAGTTACTCATCACTTTTCATATGGAAAGTTGAGTTAAAAAAAATGCTTCTCACATGTTAATTAGGTTTGTAACAAACAATTATTTTCATTATCAATTAATTTGCTAATGATTTGGAATTCGATTAATTGATTAATCACTAGAAAATAGTGAACAGTGCTTTCTACATTCCACAGTGGCCTCTTTAAATTGACTGTTCACTCTGGTCAACAGCCCAAAACCCAGTAATATTCAATTTATAATGAAATAAGAAAAATAAAAGCAGCACACACTTACAATTCAGAAACTGGAACCAGATAATGTTTGGTTAATGTTAATTGTTCAATTAATGAATTGTCTAATTTTTAATGTTAATACATCAATAATAATAATCAAAGAATGTAATGAATATTACATAATGATATAACAGTGGCAGGGGCTATTCTGCTGTTGTTACAAACATTATTAATAAAATTTTAAATACATGACTTATTTGAAATGGAGTATGCAGTTTGCAATCTCGTCTGCTACTTTCACTGAAAAACTGATGCCGCTGCTGGCAGTACACTGTGTGAAAGTAGAGGGAATTAATTAGATATAAAAGGAATTTTCACAGTCATTTAGTTTCAATAAGTAACTATTAAATGTTTTATTTAGCCCTGTAGGGAAACTCTCCTCTCACATGACCCCCTAATCATGGAGGTCAGGGTCAGATACAGAGCAGGGATGTGTGCACTTGATATGCAAGCCTTCTGGGTAACGTGCAGACTTTCTTAAATGCTAGACAATCCAGCTGTTAAAATATAATTTTCCCAACTAATATACAAAGACAACAGCCAAGACATACAGTACACTGGCTCCTCTTCGGGATTTCAGAGCTATATTTTTCGTCATGAAGATCTGGTGCCGCCAGTTGTCTCTGCTTTCCAAAGGTATAAGCTTTAACAAAAGTGCATAGATGGGTGCTCATTTTGAGACTTTAGTAACCAGCTTCATTTTTATTGATCCTGGAAAGCCTGAATAGAGCCCAGAAATGACCAACGACAATTTGTGTAGCATCTTCTCACTGTTTTGCTTCATATCTCCTCACCAGAGGCCGTCTTTAGCTCTTCCTTCAGCTCTCTCTTCTCCTGTCGGAGGGTCACTAATGCATTTCGTATCCCATCCCTCTCCCTCTCCAGCTCCTCTTTTTCTTTCAGGTAACGCCTGGCATCCTCCTCTGCTCGCGTTTTCCCATACCTTCCATACTGGTTGGCATCTGGGTGGGAGCAAAGGTGAAAGGTCAGACGTGCAGGGGTTATGGGAAGAAGACAGCGATCTGCCTGCCTGCCCTTTTTAACGTGGCGCTCTTCATGTAAGGGGGATGATGCCATCTCTACAAGTCATACACAAGTGCAGCACACTAATTTGACCTTTTTCATAATTCAAACAAAGATTTTTTTTGAGAGAACAACGATATGATGCATGAATAAAAGACAAACACACACACACACACACACACACACACACACACACACACACACACACACACACACACACAAACTCCGGCAGAGTGAGGAAGCTAGACAGCGGATCTAATGTGAGTGTCCAATAAATCTCAGGTTACATCCTGAAGCTCTCAACCCTGGAGAGCGCCGGCTCTTTGATGTGTCAGAACATCACAGCGAATGCCTGTGAAACAGCACAGAGAAGAGCACTGAGCCGTCCGACCACACCAATATCACTTTCCTCAACCCTGGACGCTCATCTCCTTTATTTGTATGACAGGAGCCAACTGAAATAATGGAGCAAATGGGAGAGGAGAGGGGAGAGGGAAAAGCTTATAGATGGAAATTGAGAAGATGATTTGAGATGGGAGCAGTAAAAAGGGAATACTGAGCCAGATGAAAGCTCAGATTTTATGACTGTCAGTGAATTGGACTGTATCAAGAGTATAAGCTACGACAAAACTAGAGCTGTGGAATCTGTAGCTCCTGTGTGACACACAACTATATTTACAGGTGCAATCTGTAGAGCTAATTGTTTCCCTCAAAGGGCATCAGGCTGCTACCCTTGTTATCTATTTATTTGTTTTTGAGAGCGACAGATGGAAAGTGGAGAGGTGTAAAGCTGAGAAGTCACAAGAGAGAAGCTTCTTAAAAGATTTAGTTAAAGTTTACATATACATTTCAGCTGCCTGGTTGGCTGTGACTGATAATGTGAATAGATCAGATAAAAATTTGTGCAGCACTGTTTATTGATCTGTCGTTATTTCTCTGATACAGCACAGTTCACAATATGTTACTCAAGGGCCTTACAGATGTTGGCTTCTCAAGGATCAGTTTAAGGTTCTCTTCTCTTTACAGTTAACCTAAGCCTGAATGTTGCATCTGTACGGAGATGACACCATTTTATACAAAAATGCAGGGGTTTTTAAATGAAGAAAAAAATTAATGAATTGCTTTTTCGAAATCTCACAATACTAATAAAGAATGCCCGTTTATCAGGACATGGATGGTTTCAAAATTGAAAAGGTTTCCATCGGCAAGTATCTTCGTCTCACACTGACAAAATGATCAAGAAGCTTGAACTAAAACTTGGTTCATTTACTAGAAGTAGAAAGTCAGAAACTGGTCCAACATACATTCATTAAGCCAGGAGACAATGTTCACTGTGCCATTTGCTTCATCATTGGTGAGAGCCATAGTACCCATCAGTGCACTCTTTAAAAAATTTAAACTGGACATCTTTATCCCAAAGGAGTAAGAAAAATGATCTCCTTTTGATTCATAAAACATGGTTGAGTTAAAAGATACCTGCGTATTTCAACAACCTTCTTCAACCCCATATGTGCACATATCAGTCTGCTTTTAGAAATCCCTAGAATTAAGAATATACTTCTTTTAGTTTCTCTGCACCTTACACATAGAATAACTTTCCCTGGCACGATAACAGGTTTCTCACAATTCATCTGTTAAATAGGGCAGTCCTACAAAAGAGAGTTTGCTTTCAGTAAGTTTCCGCTGTGTAAATTAAGGTTTTAATCAATCTATCAGTGTAATGCATGAGCTTTTGCCAGGGGCAAGCGATGTTACTTTGGAAAACCAACCAAACACACTTACTTGAGCCTGTTCGCTTGAGGGAAACTAATGGTTTGGTTCTGTCAGAGTCGCTGCTTGAGAAACTTGAGCGCCGCTTTCCTTGATTCCCAGACTGCTGCCTGCGGTTCTCCCCTGACTGGGTGGAGTACAGAGAGAGGGGAGAGGTTGGGGGGGGGGCATGACAGATGTGGGAGGATGCAAAAAGAAGGATGAGGACTTAGGGGAAAAAAAGGAGCCAAAGCAATAAACTAATCTTCAGATTTATTGGTTTGAGGCCACTGAGGTGTGTATGTTTGTGGCTGTAGGTGGTGAGAGGTGTGTGTTTAAGTGTATGTCAGTGGGGTTACAGAAGAGGTTTACAGGCTGTAAAACCGCCATGACCTCGTGCTTTCCTGTCACCAGTTTGATCACTTTTTCTTTTTTTTTTTTTCCCCTCTCCCGTGCCCACACAGTACTTTTTCTATGGCCAACAAAAGGCCGTCATTGATAGGCATCTAACAGAGCACTGTCTGTCTGTTTGGGTGACTGATATGGGGTGTCATATTCAGACAGTGACTGTCTCCAACAGCTGCACACACACAGACACACACACGCGCCTCTAATCTTGTCATATCAAAGTAAAGCATCACACATAAGGTTCAACAAAGCTTCAGGAATGTGTGTGGGTCTGAGCACATGCGTCCCACCTGCATATCCTCATTAGGGACCTCATCATATGTTCTGGAGTCTGTGGAGGTACTGCTGGAGGAGGTGGCCCACCTAGGATCAGACAGGGAGAGGACAAAATGAAGCCTGCATGAGGTCAAAAACATCACTGCTCTGGTCGGTGGCCTTACACTGACCTCGTCTAAATATCCCAGTCCCCCCCCCCCACTGTCTCACTCACAGGAAGGAATGCCGCGCAGCGTCGCAGATATTAGCAATGATTTCCACATCAACATAGTCGTAATGCAGTGACTCTGGGCCTGTCGCAGAGCCTGTTTCTGCCAAGAGGACACCAAGCCACCTTCCAAGTTCCTCAGAGCTGCTAGCCTGAAAGGAGACAGGACAAATCAGCTTAGAAATTCCTCAAATACAAACAGTTTACACTATTAACACACAACAACAGATGACAATAATAGCATTCATTGGAAATCAAGATTCTGACCACTCAAAGAATGTAAGTAAAACATTTAATTCTCTTTTAGCACTGTTTTTGGTCTCGACCAACTCCTCAGGAAATTATCCAGCTCCTTAGCTGCTAAATGCTTCAGTTTGTTCGCTTCCTGGCTGCCTGTTGCTGCTAAACAAGGTTGATCTGTGATCTGTGATTTATCAGTGAGAGTGAATCCATTAGATCCAAGATAAAACATTAAAGTTGCAGCCCATTAAACCAAAACAATTAGCTGACAGATGCTAAAATTTTGTGCAGTGATAATTCTCTGTGCATTTGTCACTATGAGTTTCCCTTATCACATTACACATAGTCCTTTGACCCTTTGTTTATATAAAAATATTGACTAGTGCAGCTTTAAAAAATAACAGGCAAAGTATTCTACCTCCAGAGCAGCCACCTCTGTGCTGTTGCGTAGGATTCGAAACGCAAACGGGTGTTTGGGTCCGAGCCCCGGCACCACCTCACAGCTGTGGAGGGGGAGGGAAGGCAGGGAGGTCCGAGAGTCTCCTTTGTCATGGTAGAAGTGCAGGGAGCCTCTGCACACACAACACCACTGTTCCCGCCACACCTGGTTCACCAGCACTGACAGGTAGCCTGCGTTGTGAAGAGGGGAAAAAAAAAAATGACACGTCTGAAAACTCAGAGACCTGAAGAGTGACAGTGAAGCAGGGTCTGACCTTGTCGAGGGTCGTTGAAGGACGTCCGGGGATCACCTGGCCGAGGGGACTTCTTCTTGGAGAAGCTGATGATTCGTGTGATTTTACGGCCTGCAGCAAAAGCTCCTCGTTTCACCTTACCTACATTAAAAAACCCAGTTTCTTTTTATCCAAATACAGTATATCTTTGCCATGTGGAAACTTAAATTCACATAAAATATGTAAAAACCATGTGACAATAGATATCAGTTAAAACTAAAAAAAAGAATATCTTAACTCAAGATACACATACTAACTTTTTTTTCCAAAATCCATCAACTGCATCTTGTGGTCTCCATCTGCAGATGGTCTGTTTTCATGGAGATAGCTCAGCTAACTTTGGTGTGACCTAATGCTGCATTTATGTTTCTGTAAACAACCGTCACTACAACATACAAGTTGTAATTATGACTGGGGGAGTCAGATGTTTCGGAAAACTCTCATATGTCCGACTTGGCGCTTAATAATAGAGAAGTGCCTGAAAACCAAATAAATATGGATGCCTTATGTCAGCCAGAGATTTTCTTTCAAGGCAATTAAACCCAGATTGTTAAACATTGTCAAGTGTTTTTAACACGCCTGCGCCCAACCCTGCAGTCCTACAACTGTCTTGAGTTGTCGAGTGATGTGAACACTCACAAATTGTAAACATTAAAAAAGTATCTCATCTCAACTTGAGTGCAGCACTGTGGAAATAAAGTCATGTGGTGACAACGGAGCAAACTCCATCTGCTGATGAAGACCATGAGAGAGATGCAGTTGGGGGAAAAAAAGCTAGTAAGCGGAGCCTGAGTTCACTTTTGTTTTTGTGAAAGACCTGGTGTAGTGATTAGAGGCTGTCTCACCATTCTCTCTGCAGTTATCTCCAGTTGACACACCCACACTGTCTGAATCTGATGTGTTCCTCTCTGCAGATAACCTCTGAGGAACAGGAAAACAAACACAGGTTTAGACAAACAGCTGAGTCTTAGTCCTGCACTCAAACTAGAGCCAAGCCTTCTAAATTTGTCTTTGACTAAAAAGAGCTAAATGACTATCCCTGACATCCCTGTTTCCGTGGCTGGATTCTTTCATTCTTTTACATGCTGTCTCATAACCACAAACACATGATATGAAGAGACAGACAGACTTATCCTCTGCCTTTTCTCCTACCAATTTAATGTTGGCTTCTCTCTCTTCAGTCTGTGCTTTTATGTCAGAGCCTTTTTGCAATTTATGTTCTGACAGGTAGGTAACCTTGAGAGAGGATCTGCCTGTTCCAGCTCTGACTCACTCACACCCCTATCATTTCTGTCTTAACACCTAATTGCACTACATATCTCTTCTTTGTTCTGCAAGCCAAATACATGCATCACTGCGCACTGTGTCGAGCCAAACAATTGTTTAAGAAAATTGATGATGACAACACAATTGCTGGCTGCTACCGGCAGTTTCCTCACCTCGGCTGTGAAGATGAATTATTGTCTCGAGGATAAATACGACAGGAAGTTGCTCACACAAACACCCTCTCCTCTACACTTACCTTGTCAAGTTCAGTTTTTCTTGGAATGATAGGAGATGCAGATTCCTCAGGCCCTGTGCTCTGGCCGCTCACCTCTCTAACAACCTGTGGGGATATTTGTGTCAGTTTCTAATTTACAATATATTCCTTCTGAGGTTGAGCGATTGTCAGCATGACTGTTGGCTGTGTTACCACTCTGCATCCCTGCATACCAAAGTATGTGGAGAGAGCAGCTTACCCTAAGCCATCTGTGGGCCTGTTCCTTGCTTTGCACCGCCAGCACCAGTGCGTCTCCATTGGGTAAAGTGAACCGGAGCTCATGGTGCTTCCTCTTGCTGTCTTTGGGTGCGTAGACCACAGCGCACTGGGGCAGCAGCAGGTCCACATACGGGCACGTGTCCTTAGAACTCTTATAGCACTGCAGAAAGGAGGACACACAGGACACTGTAGGTTAAAGGAGAGAAATATGCAAGAGCGTCCTTTACTGAATATGTGAGCGTACACCCTCTCACCTGCAGTCTGTTCTCCCGTATGACAGTGAGCTGTTTGGCCCACTGGCCGAAGCGTTTCTTGCGCAGCAGGAAGGCACAGATGCGACAGTCTCTGGCAGGAGGCATGGAGCTCTCATCCGAGGGCCACTGATGGGTGAGTCGGACGCCGGGGCTCCTCTCCTCCTCATCCTCCTCATATGACTCATAGGAACTGCTCAGAGCGTCAGAATCATTGTCTAGGAGAGCAGCGACAGACAAGGTAAAGGGTGCTATATTTGTAGTAAAAAAAAAAGGTTGTTTTTATCCTGTAATTTGGTTAGTTTGGGAATAACTTTGTTCTTAACTCACAGGAGTTTTTACGGTGTGAATTAATGCAGGTAGTGGGATAGTTGTTTTCAGCATCTTCATAGCCATCCTCTATCGAGTTGGGAGGGCTGGGCCTGACTGGAAATGGAAGAGAAAAAAAAAGCCTAATTAGTCCTTGTGTTTCATAATGCACTTTAATGTAACTTGTATTAGTACTGCATAATTATGTGTAATTTAAGTGCTGAGAACTGACTTCATAGCTTTTTACAGCAAAATGACACAAAGGGCACTGAGTTCACCAGAGGCGGGAAGATGCTGACCTCGTGTGATGATGTACTCAGGCATCTTGCCAGGACTGAGGGGTACTGCCTCCTCATAATACTCCTCAGGAGGAGGTGTTGTGGGCAGAGGGGGAGGAGAGTCAGCTGAGTGCGTGGCTGGGGAGTCTGCACAGCTCTGCTAAAGGATTCACACAAACACACAAATAACTCTCAAATTTTCCACATAACCATGAACGATTTTCCTTTCACACCCAAAGAACTGCATCATCAAAGAGATGCAGAGGATAAACCTCAAAATAATATCCATAAATTAGACACATGGGCTCTGGGCGGATCCCTGCATTTTAACTCCTCTCTTTTAACAGCTCGCAGAGCGGTGAGTATGTGTACATGGGAAACCCCCACAACAAGGAATGCAATCTCTCTGTTTTTCTTTCTCTTCTTCTTGATCTTTTTCTTTTCTCTCTTCTCGTTCCTTGCAAAGCTGGATTCGGATTTTGAGTGCTGAAATGATGGACATACAACAACATACATCCCGTGCATGCAGTTTCATCCTGCCTCCAGGATTTAAAGCCAATACTTCACATGTAATGGATATTTATGGAAAGGGATAGGTTAGGAGCTGAGTGTGTGTTGGCAACTTGCCTGTTTTAAAGTGTCAGTTTGGGTGTTCTTCTCCTCTTTCATATCGTCTGTAGCGTCCTTTAGGTCTCCAAGCTCGCAGTCTGACAACAACATACATTTACACTTGCACTTTTAACTGTATATATAAAGACAGCATGAACACTGCTGCTTATGTGTTGGCACTTGTGTGTATTTTACTCAAACTCACCAAATGTCTCAAAGAGGGACTCGACAAAGCTGGTGCCGTTTCTGTAAACCGCTGAGTTCATGTAGATGTAGTCTGTTCCTGACACTGGAAGAAAGGAAGAGGAAAACATAAAAACTTTCTGGATGGTAAGAAAAGTGCAGAAAGTTAGACAGATTTCCAACCTTCATATCCTCTTAATGGGTGAGTAGATGCTGATTAATCTGAAGAATGCAATAAAAATAGTAAAGCCCAGTAAATAAACATAATTTGTGAAATATCTATCCAATAATTTGCATCTAAACTAAATAATTGATTTTATCTGGAAATCTTGAAAGTGGACTAGAATGAAACACAACTTCTGCACAATGAAATGCACAAACATTCCCTATGAACATCTGTTGGACTTAATAAGTTACTTCATGTGTCTCTCCTCTCTCTGACCTGATGGCTGTATCTGCTGCAGGAGGTTCCACACTGAGGTCTTCTTCTCCTGGGTGGATGAGCTGAGGTTCTCCTCGTCCAGCATCTTCAGCAGTACTCCCAGCTCATTCACCAACACCTCCATCGCTGCACAGGGTGAGGGCAAAGGTCAGGGGGGCACGAGGTCAGTGTATCAGCAGAGAGGGCAAAGGTCAGGCTGACAAGTCTAAACAAACCCCAGGAGCATGTCAGGGAGGCTCTTTCTGCTTTGCTTTCCATGTGTCCTTCTTTCATTTTCTGTCACTTTGCTTCACAGTTTGTCAATATCAATCTGCCACCTTATCACAGAGTCTGCCTCCTCTCCGCCTCTGTCTGTTACTAACCAGACTAAACAACAACAAGAGATTGGAGTGAGAGGAAACATGTTTGCTAATTGCTCATTAACCCAGAGGAAAAGTGCAAATGAAGCTACCCAAACACATGGACTCTTACGCAGCATATGAACAGAACATCCTGCATAAAACGTTCTGCAGCAGCTCTGAAATGTTGCTGGCTCAAAGACAGATGGGCACAAATCCAAATTTCAATCAACTGTCACACTCAATGCTGAGAGGGCAAATTAAAAGCGCTGCAAAGACTGTAAAAATGTTGGCAGAAACATGAGATTCTGACAAGAATAACTGAAGGGCCACTTTACAGAACCCAGAGCGGGCCAGCAAGCCGAGTTTCATTCACAGGGACGTGATCTTTATCGGACAGTTGGAGATTTTAAGTCAGGGACTCACAACAGCAAGGGCTGGCTCAGACCCCCAGGCCTCCAGCAATAAACACTCTATTCCCAGGTTTTGCAACACATTGAGGACTCAGCTTAAAGGAATATATGATTCACATCATGTGTTGATCTGAGAGGTGGGACAGGTCCACTCCCTGTTTTCAGAACAGAACTTAAATAAACTGTCTCCCTCCCTCTGACAGCTGCTGGAGACCCTGAGAACAGAATGGATCTGCAACCTGCTGCTGATGTGTTTGAATTCCTCCTTTATCTTGTTTCATGCCAGACACAAGCAAGTGCCGCCAGTCGGTTCACATGTTCTTATGTCATGCCCCCCCCCACCCCACCCCCCCCACCCCACACACACACACAGTTTTCACAGTTCAGCCACATTGGACCCACTGAACCGTGCATCTTGCTGGAGTCAACCATGGGACAGCCACTGAGCCAGAAAACTCTTTGTGTGGTGGGCGGTCATATGGCAACAAGACCAGTTACACTAACCAAACAACAGTACATGCAGACACATACACATACACATGAATCTGAAACACACAGGGAGGCTTATATGGTGTGTATTTAGTGAGGTGAGGTGTGTCAAAAGTATTCTTTGGTGTACCTGGCTCGAAAAGGCCCTGTTGTGTGTGTGTGTGTGTGTGTGTGTGCAGGTTTACAGAGCATTATTAATGGGTTTCTTCAGTAAGTTGGACTGTTTGTTGAATCCCTCTGACACAGTGCTCTTGTATGTAAGCACCACTGACAGGTTGTGCTGGAAGATGTATCTGGTGTTTGTCAGTGTGTGCTCCACATTTCAGACTGCTCCCACTCCTTGAAGACAGACATACTTTCCTGAGGTGGGTCTTCCTATGGGTTTAACAATGCCCTGCTAAGGCAACAAGAGCCTGTGCCTGTTTAACCACTTTGTCTTCTTCACCAGTGCAGTTTCCGTCCATTGTAATAACAAAATATGCCTTGCATTCCGAGAAGTGGGCATGAGGAGTTAATACATGCAGGGACCTGGAAAGTTTCCTCATTAACATCTGATTCACCCAGCGGAAATAAGGAAGTGGAGTTTGGGGAAGGAGAGGAAACTCATGAGAGTGGGATGTCTTGGCCTGGTGGATGCTGTCTTTCTGCCAGAGGTTTCAGCTGTTTAGATTCTGGCTCTGGCGCACCACTGGGCTTCCCCTAACCTAGTGCCTAGAACCTTATCCACAGCATGACTCATTCACTGCAGAGAAAATTTGAAATTCACACCACTCAGCACTAAATCAAATATAACACAGAGACCAAGGCAGTGCTTTCAAGGAGCTGGCGAAAAGTAGGACACTGCGCTCATCACACTGCTTCACTTGGACTGCTGTTCCAAAAAGCTGATGGTCTAATTTGACAAATACAGTGTTATTCTGCTTGTGCCAAAATGAGCTAAGAGGAATTATTGCATAGTATTTGGCATGTGAGGCACATAAGGCCACCCTTAAGTCAACTTTCATGCGTTTTATAACCAACACTACACTACTCACATGGTTCTCACACATCTAAAACAGCACATGATCCTTTAAATCCCTGCTGCAACTGTTCAGAGGTACTCTGAATTCTGTGTGTGTGTGTGTGTGTGTGTGTGTGTGATGTGTCTGATGTACTTAAAAGCCAGATAAAACAGATTTTGAGCCCAGCACCTGGGGGAAACTCCGCACAAGCTCACATATGATGTTAATGCTACATAAAACAGACTGGATAAGGTTTAATCAAAGTCATACTAAGGTGAAATTGTAATATCTGCAGCTACAAACCAAGACTTTAATCTCAGGTTTTATCATTTAAGGTTCTTTTAAGCCTTAACAAAAACATTACGAGGGAATATTCCACTCAAAAAATGAAAGGCACACACAAAAGACGGGTAGGGGAATGTGTAAAGCTATTCAAAGCTTTGGACACACTCAAACATTTACCCCCTCACACCTGCCTGACAATAGCCATTAAACACTAGACACATTCCTCACCTTGTTAATAGTGCAAGTCTCTGTAAAGTGCATCTGTGTGTGTGTATGTGTAGACTTCTGTGAAACAGAGTGAGTAGTTTGTTTAACAGTGCAGACTCAGAGCTTTAAAAGAGGCTTACATTAGCAGACTTTCTGAGGGAGTGAAAGAGAGGGGGAGGTGGGGGTGAGTAATGTCAGCGAGTTGAGCACCTGTGCTAACATGTCCAACAAACCCTGATATGAAGAATAATGTGACCTCAATCGGGTGCACATATTCTTCTTTTTTTTTTTTTTAACCCCCTCCTTTTCATGCCAAAGGGCTGTATTCATGCTGAGCTTACTTATCTTGCAAAACACACACACACACACACACACACACACACACACACACACACACACACACACACACAGTTTCCCCAGTATGTTGTAAGTGACTGAATCTGGTCATTCTGCAGAAACTCTGTTTCACAATATTGTTGCAGGCAGACATTCCAGCTAACCACACAGGAATTTGCAACCCAGGAAGAGTCTTAAGAGGCTTAAAAAATTACAATGCTGCACTATCGAGTCTTGGTGGCAAACAGTTGCTTTCTCAACAATTCAGGATTACTGCCATTCCAGGTATTTCATCAAGCTGGCATGATGCTCGAGGCTTGAAGTAAACATCACCTGATGCCTCAGTCTCATGTTTACAGCACCTTTACAGCTCAACAGTTTGTGTGTCTTTACATTGTTCCGTACGTTTGCACATCTTCACAAACCCCTGCACCTTCTTCCACCTAAGTCACCACCTGCTTTAATATTCAGACAAGCTACAGACAACACTTACCCTCAACAGCAGTGGATGAGAGTCCCACCATTTTCCAAGGTTACAGAGGAGAATCGGTTCATTCATATACAGACAGATACTGTAGGAGATATTCCAGAGTCAAAGCCTCCCTGTGTGTGTGTCCTGTAAAGTCTTTGTATTGGAGGTGAGCTATAGTCTGCCTACTGCAGCACACACACACTCCCTTTACCTCTCCCTTCCTCCCTCTGATCTGTTATCTCCCTCCACCCACCTCCCTCTCTCTGTCTCCCCTCCTCTCTTTTCTTTTTGGGGGTAGGGTGATGGTGGTGCTCTGTATGTGTGTGTGTGTGTGTATGTATGTAGCCCTATTGGATCCCCCTCCGCTGTAATCCCAGGGATCGTATAGCACCTGGGAGAGGCTTGCTGTGTAAACACACACATGTCGACTAATAGTTAACTCACATTCTTTATTCTTTCACATTCTTCCCCTCAGTGTACGTTATTAACGTTTAACTAGCTGTACACAAAGTCTGCCATCCAGAAGATGCCAGTGAACCCATTAACATACCAGATACAGTAAGGCATTGTTAGGGCATCTTTGCCACTATAATTTACTGATAATTGGACCATTAAAATGGTTCAAGGGGTAATATCTATATTTTGAATGCACTGAAAATACAAGGTGAAGGATATAGGAGAGAGTGAGTAAAGGCTGTGGAGTGTAGGTGGAGGCAAGTTGAGACTTTTCAGTTACACGTGGATGAGTTGTTGCCTTGAGGCAGACTCATGCATCCCGACACGATGCGACATGCTGCCATCAGTCACAGTAACATTGCACAAACAAACCCTGAAGGCGCACATAGACAATTTACAACCATGTGCACAGCAACAGACAAACACACGGCTTCTCCTAAGTGTAGGCTTTTACGATATATCAGTTGCAGAATGAAAACAGTGTCAGCCGGCTGTAGGGCTGGCTGATGGACAAGACTGCTCAACAATGACTGTGAAGTTACTAGATATGAGCATGTAAAATATTGGTTTTAATCCTGGTATGACCCCTTTGACCCCTCTTTGACCTCTCCTATTGAATACACATTAGTTAAAAATATACTTTTTGGGATGATTGGCAGCACTCTTGTGTCTGTACAGTAAATAGGAGGATCAGCGTTTTTCCTATATGCAACAGTGACGCATTGGCACTTTCTACGCTGCACACAAATGGTATTATAGTATTTATTGTACAGATACGAGAGTGGGATCAATTTTTTCATCTAGTGTAACTCTGGGCAACAAAGTGAGTAATGGACAACATAATATTAATGTTTAATGTAATTATCTGCATCATTTTTGTACAGACAAAATTTATGTTTGCTTCTCTATATCACTGATTCAACACTGATTCAATTTGTAGCTAGGTTATACTGATTTACTATAAGTATAGTATGCAACTCTGATGCTCTGATGATATTACCACACATTTATCCACAGTAACATCACCTTTAGCCACACTAGCAGTGTGACCAGTGCTCTTATAATTGCATTGGTCCAGAGTGAGATATTTCCATTCCAACTGGATGGATTGCAACCAAATGAAAAATAGCAAGTTGTCTCTTTTCTTCTTCCGTTGTTTTGTGCCATACTTTTATATCTCACTTTTTTTTATTTCACAAATGATGCCAAAGGTGATCTTTGTCAAGAACATACTTCTAGACAGTGAATGACAGACGATGAATGAGTCACACAGAGGATTTAAAGATATACACTCCCAGGGATGTCTGTGAAGAAGATGGAAAATTAATGGCCTAATTATGTAGACAGGAAGTCCTCCTACTGTCTGTTTTCATACACAGACCAGACTTTCCCTGAGGCGTACATGATGTTTCCCAACTTTTCCAATGTCCTCTCTAGTGGTGATGCCACAGACACACCCTGCCAGGCTTGGTTATGGCCTGACAAACCTCTCACTGTGACTAAATGCGACCTCTGACCATCCCCGTAAAGCTGTGATCTCACACAGGACTGTGGATGCCAGAGGAGGGATGGGAACGCACACTAAAGCTGTGAAATACAAATCACTTTACCTCTCATTAAAACAGGGTACATAGCTGTCATGTTTGAGTAATACTGGAGTATTAAGGACAGCTGATTTCTAAAACACGGCATTTCAAACTTGACTAATCTAGAAAATCATTAACAAAACACACACTAAAATAACATAGGTACAGTATAAGCATACAGAGGTAAATCCTGTTAGACAAAGCTGCTGTGAGAACCTCAAAGGACTGTACCATCTGTGACTCCACAAGAGATCAGTATCTAATGAAAAATGCTGAGTTTTTCTTGGAAGTCTCCCCTTCCTTATTGTCTTTGGACATGTTGGATATACAGCCATTTCCCAACCTGATCTGACATGAAAGAGCACTGCAGGTTGAAGACTTTGAGGTGTCCAGAAACCCAGTGTGGGAGTCTTTCTTTGTCTCATCACTGAAGCCAGTTGAACAATATGACCCAGTAACTTTCTCATCATGTTAAGCGAGTCACAGGAGAGGTTTGAATTTTATCTTTCATACCGTGTGAGGGTTATCTAAATACCACCATCCAACTCATCAAAGCTGGGACATGTGTGTTTAGAGAAAATAGCTGAATCATAGCATTAAGAGACGCAGATGAGAACAGAGATGTCATATCTCCTTTTCAAAGGCCGCAGGCTTTAATCGCACCCCTTGGGGTGTGTGTAGCCTGCAATCTAACAAAGGCAAGGTAAACCAGATGGCCAGAGGTTTTTAATTACATTAAGAGCTGTGCCAACACTCACCAGCCTCTGCCCTATCATAATGACATCCTCTCCCACTTTATTCCTCAGATTGCAGGCATTTCCCAAGTGTGACGGTTTTTCTCTCACCAGCACAAAACATGTCTGGGCATTCACAAACCGATAACTGCGGAGCCCACAACAGGTAAACAGAGACTTCTGGTTCATTGGTAAGATGATACTAATCAGGATGATGACTGCATCTGTGACTTAACTTTCAGAGTAGTCATCATTTTAGGCTGGATGTGAGCTGGATGATGAGAGCCATATTAACATTTATGAATGATTCAGATTCTTAAAGCGACAATGTTCAGTATTTTTATTAAACAAAAGATGAAATGACGAAGTGGATGTGAAAGGGCTTGCTTGCAGTGATAAACATAGAAATATCTATGTTCTACAGAGCATTTTTCAGTCTTTCAGCTCACTGTTTTGACTTTTGGACCCGCAGAGTTTCTGTTTTGGTTCGCGGTCACAGCTCTAAGCAGTCAGATATTTCCATAAAAAGTTGGTTTACATCAAAACAGAGCTTAAAGGAGAGTAAATATTGGACTGACATCCATTAGGTGGACAGAGATATAACTCCATGTGAATGCTAATGTTGCTCCATATCTGCTCAATGATAAACTGTTAGCTAACAGCTTTGCTACATCAATTTATAAGTTAAAAGTATGTCAGGATTGTGTTTGCAGCTTGCTCCCATTGACACCAAACAATCAGTTAATAATAGTTTAAGTACTACTTATTATATCTTATTATTATGGGCACTTTGCCTATCTATTTAATTTTCTTTATACATTTGAGGGTCCAGGAAATTGCAGTAGATTCCCAGGAGAAGGATGAAAATGGAGGCACATCAGGAAATGGCCAACAAATGTGGTAGAGACCCTGTTGGCAGGTAGTGTAAAGCCTTGTAAAACTATGTAAAATATACAGAGATAAGGCTGAAAATCATCAAAGTGGACATTTAAAGGTCATGCTAGCTATGATAGGCTAACGACTGAAGACCCTTAGAGACCGATTTTGATCTCATTCTGCTTGCTGCCAACAAAACACTTTTCCTGTCCTACATAAGTTAATGGGCTGACCAAGTGTATTGCGATGCCCCATATGCCCCCTATAGAGATGGCTTCCTCCCTCCGCTGATGACATCACCTATCAACTCCGGCCTTCTGTTTCCTCTTCCTGTCAGCTGACTCACTCCCAATTTTACTGTACTGTCTCTGGTGACCCCATTCTCAATGCACTGTCTAGATCCTACACTAGATAGAATTGAATTTCAAAGGTATGACAATATGATGGAGCTTGAAATCCACTACTATTACAAACCTTCATTTAGCTGCTACAGGTAGTCCTCCAAGAAAAAGGGGATTTATCATAGCTTTGACATGGACATTTATTATGTGGGTGGACAGTTTAGACAAACATAATAATAATCAACACACATAGCAAATGCACATTGCAAGACATGCTGGAGTTGAGCAGCAGGTGAGGGGCACATGTGGAAAAACTTATTTGGTTTGGAGGAGTCGTAAAGGTACACAAATTAAGGAGAGAGGGGAAAAAACATGTTCTGCCCACTGTTTTTATTGTACACAGTAAGATGCTTCAGGTTATCATAAAACACAGCACAGATCCCACACTCCATGAAACTCAACGAGTGTGCGCACCAGTACAGTAATACACAAGAGATCGCAACTGTCCAGGGATATGGATGCCTTGATTGCTTTGTGGATGCAATAGGTAGTATTCTGTCCTAGTTTTTTACTTCAGACCCAAATAATTGGCTGGTGAACCAACATACAGAGTAACACTTTGGCTGACTGCTTACTTGAAGACATTCATTTTGTGATATCAAATCAGGCAAAACCTTAAGTATTTGGAGTATGCATTTCACAGCACTATTACTTTTCAGTTGTATATCTTTAGTTTAAATTTCCCTTAAAAAGAACAAAGCTTGGTTAAATTCATCCCATCTTAGCAAATATTTATATACATCATTCAAATGGGCTGCAGTCAACTACGTCTATAACAAATTTCTATCTTGAACATGCATCCTCACTCCTTCTAATTAGGCCACTCTAACAAGCCTGCCACAGAGGGAAATAAATCTACTCAAAGTCATTAGGCCTCTTAAGCGGTTAGGATGTTTCCATGGTGACAGAGAGGGAGAATTATGGGTCTGTGCACTCCCGCTTTTGATGTTCAGACACACAGGTACATACGCGCAAACACACACACACACAGCTCCCCATGGCTTCACTGCAGTTGAGTAATCTGGGAAGCAGCGGTGATAGCAGGGAGCTGCTATCTCAGCAGTGANATAAATCTACTCAAAGTCATTAGGCCTCTTA